AACCTCCTTCCTGAGGGGAGTGGGGCAAAAAGTGTGTGTGCTGGGTGAGAAGCGTGTTTCACCCAGCACCGATCGTAACACTTCTTTTCTAACCTAATCTGATTAATTTAGTGACAGCTCTTCAGTGTATGGGCTGTTAAACCTTTGACCAACCTGTCAGTAACAATACATTTTATTCAGGCATTTAACTGTTTGTTTTGTTCAGAAAGTGATCAAATCTATTTTTATTCCTCTAAGTTTGCACATTCTCAATGAAATGTCACCTTTAAATTTTAGAACACAAAAAGTTACATGACATGGTCATCTAAATCATATAAAATTTAGAAATCATATAATTTACTGTAAATATACGTGGATATTACTTGGAACAAACTGCTGAAATAACATTCAGTTTTCTTTCACAACATTTCTTAAAACAGTTCCTGTGCATTTATTGACATATGAAGGCAATTACTATACCAGATTATCATCTGATAAGAACTTGCTTTCTAATGTAGCATAATGTTCCACACTGTAAGAACTTTGGGTTAGAGTAAAATGCAAAAATTATGAACATGCTGGACTTGTAATGTTAGACACACATTTATAAACTTAACATTGAATTAAATAATAAAACTACAGCCTTAAAGCACTTCTGAATTTCTTTCAGATAACAACAATCTAGTAACATGGCAAGGTAGTAATCTGTTTCAGCTACAGTAATACCACTCACACTGATGTCAGTGTAGAGATGAATGTTGTGAGACACCAGTGTCTTTAAAGCTGCAGAGTCTATTGCATTATCCAGAGCAGAGAGTTCATCTGACTCCAGGTTTAAAGTCTGATGACTTCAGGTTTCTCTTCCAGATGGAGGGGATCTGTATCACACACAAAATAAATTATCTTTAAATACACATTTCTCTGGCATCAATAAAGTACTCTGCACAACAACTAAAAGAACTTATTCGGGCTGAAGACTTAGCTCAGTATATGAAACTACTCTGTACTGATAAATGTATGTGTGTGTGCTTTAAACGATTCACAAACTGCATGAAGATGTGTGAGTTTATATTACCGGTGGGAGAAGTGAAGGCTCTAGATGCCTTCCCAAAAATGATAAGAGTCGTCTCCAGATGAGCCCGCTGCCCAAGAACATGAAGCCAGTTACCAGCCAGAAAGCCCGAGGGTCCTGTGGCAAACACAGACATGCCAGTATAGGTGGAGGTAACCAACACTCTCATTGGGTTGTGTTAGCAGCAAAATGTCTCACGTCTTCAAAAGCTGTTGTTAAATTCATTCCAAAGGCGACTCCTATGAGCCCAAACAGAGTGAGAGAGAAGGAGCCCATCGTCAGCTGCAGGTTCAGACGCATCATCACGTTACGATGGCTGCAGGAAACCAGACAGCAGAGACAGGACCAGCATGTGACTTTACTTCAAAGGAACTTGAAACGTTTTCACTCACGGTGTTTCAAGTGTAAAAAGGACAGTAATCAACATTAGAGCAGTATTAGTACCAAACAAACTTCTGCAACAGTTTTAATAATTCAGTCGGCTGTTTTTAATCATGTTAAAATGTCTAAAACCAATTACCTTTGCACATTTGGAGTGTATATATGCAGTGCAGTGAGTGTGTACCTGTCCAGATTAATAAAGATGACGCTCTCCGAGTCGTCTATCAGTCCCTTCAGCTCTCTGGCTTTGTTTGCCAGCTCCTCGGCCTGCACGCAGCAGTAATCATACAGTCAGAGTAAAACAACATTTGAAAATGCGACTTTATTTTAGGCTTAAACACAGGAGCAGCGTGTGGAAAAATTAGGAACCACCCCATATTTCAATATTAGGTTCAAGTCTTTCACATCACTGTGGAGAACTTTGGACCCACTCCTCTTTACAACAATGCTTCAGCTCCTTCAGGTTTGTGGAAAATGTTAAGCACAGTTCCCTCAAGTTGTGCCATGAAGCATTTCATTCAGTTCAAATGGTCTGGACTTTGACTGACACATTGCAAGCTCTTGATTTATATTTTGTATTCATTATGTTGGATGTTCTGAACATTGTTCTGTTGGATAACACGTCAGCCCGATTTCAGCTGTTGGACAGATGACCTCCTGTTTGACTCTGAAATACTTTGATATACAGAAGAGTTCAAAGTCAAATCTATGACTGCGAGGTAACTTGGTCCTGAGGCTGCTATCTATCGCCCTCAACCACCACGCTTAACGAGTACGATGCGTTTGTGCTGAATAAGCTTGGCACTACAGCCAAACACCTCTAGATTTAACCAAAAGACATTGTTTCAGAACATGGTTTGTTCTTATGTAACTTTAAAACTCGTCATGCTGCCATTTTTAACAAGGAAACAGACTTTTTGTGATAATCCTTCCAGACTAGCCATACTTGTTCAGTCGTCTTCTTAAATCCATTTTAATGAATTTTACCACTGAATATTTTGAGTCCTATACAGTTCAAGTTATTGCTCTTCTGATTTTTGACAGTTTTCTGAGCACTGAATTGTCTGACCCAGAAAAACTAGTAACTGTCTTAAATATGCCAACATTTTTCAGTCAGGTCATTTGGACACTTTCTTTTTTTTGTGCTGAAATGTTTCACCTTCGATCCAGAAGGCTTCATCAGTCAAGGAAACACACAACAAAACTGATTCTTCCCCCAACATCTTACTCCAAAGTGGAACAAACCAGTTCTGTTGGTGCTAAGATGGTGTCTTTGGCACGCCCCCTCCTCCATTGCCGGCCCTCTTCCTTGTTGATGTCGTGTCAAACTGGTTGAAAACAACAAAGTCCATGCTCAATAATCCAGGTATACAATCCAACATCTTTCAGTCAGGTCATCTGGACAGCATGGACTGATGAAGCCTTCCGGATCGAAGGTGAAACGTTTCAGCACAAAAAAAGAAACTGTCCAGATGACCTGACTGAAAGATGTTGTATACCTCGATTATTGAGCATGGACTTTGTTGTCTTAAATATGTTTTACTTGTGAATACTTGTTCTCACTGTAACCAGAAATTTGTATCAGTTCCAGATTAAGCAGCATTGTGTTTCTGAGATCAGTGTTCTTGCTTTCTCAACATTTTGTTCCCACACAACTGTATGCTCCAGAGCAGAGGTCTGCAACCTTTTAAATCAAAAGAGCCATTTCTGTCCTTCATTTACTGAACAAAATGTGTCTACAGCCACAAAACCTGCTACAATGGTCATTATCAACTGGTGGCTCATGGGCCATTTAAAATTTGTATTTTGTTGTTTTTAGGTGAGTGGGGGTGACTTTATAAAACAAATTATATAATGAATTTCAACAATTATTAATAATTTTATATTTTAGGGCTAAAGAAAAGACCACATTCATGTAAACAACAGTAAAAAATATATTTCATACAAATTTTACAAAAAATAAAGGTATATAACCCTGAACTCTGCAGGTTTATGGCTCTCTTTTAATTTTATAAAAATAAAATATGTATGCCATTTTAAATTAATAAAGCCGAAATTTAAAGTGTGTATAAATATTAGACCATTTTGTTGGATATGTAATTGTGACATTAACATTTTAATTTAAAAACAAACTTTGCATTTACTTTAACTTTAGTTAGGTTTATCCATCTATCCATACATCTCTCCATCTTTCTATCATCCATCCATTATTTATTCACCATATATCTTCAAAAGAATTTCTGGTGGATTTCAAAGATCTACTGTAAGGCCGTACGTTGGATAAATGAAGAAGCTAAAGCTAATCAAAATTGTTTTCTCCTTGTTTTACCAATTTCTTTTAAACATTTGCTGAAAAACTGCAAAAACTTGCCATTTCTCTTTACTGTGGGTATAAAAACCAACAAATTTACATTTTGCATTGTGTTTGGTCAAAGCTTAAAGGAGCCGCAGACCAAGGACCAAAGGGCCGCATGTAGCCCCAGAGCCGCAGGTTGCAGACCCCTGCTCCAGAGCAGCAAACTGCCTCCATTTCTGCTTCTGTAGATGTGCTCACACCTGCTAATAATCAGTTATCAAGTATATTTACTCAGCAACACTTAGTTGCTACTAACTCTTCCTACTGAGGCAGGAATAGTGTCATTAGTCTTTCACACAGTTCTTCTGTGATTGTGTTGATTTCATCTAATAAAGACAGTGTCCAAGATGTCACGTGTAAATGGTTGCACATTATTTACAGGCCTGCTAAAGACTAAACACTTTTATTATGTCCTGATATGTTAATGTTTGAAATGAATGAAGCTGAACTTACTTTTTAGAATGACTATATTAAGTCACTGATGGTTTATCACAGGTACAACTAATGACATTACTGCTTTAATTAACAAATTAAAAGAGATATATAATCTGTGCCTTTACAACAATAAGGGAAGCATGAATATTTACAGGAACGTACGATGTTAAGGGGACCAGTTTTGATGACATTTATCTTGTAATGATCCAACTTTAGTGAGCTCGGTTGATCAGAGTCCTTCAGACATGTCATTTTTGTGCATCACAACGTTGTCAACTCTACCTGCATGAAGTAATTTTCTAGCAAAAGCTCCATCTCTTCAGCGTGGTCAATTCCCAAACTGCTCTCTTCACTAAAAGACAGATACAAATGCCATTAGACTAAAAAAAGTACATGTGTATGACACACACAGTTCTTCATTGATTAATGTATGACTGCAGAGCAACATACAAAACTTGAGGGTCCGTCCATTTAGTGAGACAGAGTTCTTCAATGATCTCATCCTCATCAAGAATCTTCAGCAAAGAATCCTTAAAAACTTTTATGTCGGTTTCCAACTCTGACAAACTGTCAGGAACAAGAAATAAAATCAGACTCGATTATATTAATGTTAAGGTGTAACAGTTGTGTTTACAATAAATGCTTGCATACTTTACCTCTTGCTGTTCTGTAACAGTATATGGAGCTTACTTCTATCAGCTGACAGGATCTTAGGATCAACGAGGAACTCCAGAGTGTCCAGTATCACTGGTTCGAGCTCATTCAGCTGGGTTTGTAAGGTGTTTACCTATCAACAGATATACGGTGAGCATGCCACCTGTTCTGGAAACAGAGCCTCAGATAAAGAAGTCTCACCCTGTGCTGCAGGAGGGCCTCCAGCGCCTTGAACTCAAAAGGCAGAGAGTGCATCTGTGATGCGAGCTGAGAGGCGAGCTCCAGCACCAACCAACGTTCTAGTCCCAGGCCGCGGAAATCCAACACCAGCAGGAACTTTGGGGTCAGGATGGCTTTTAAAGACTGTGAGGAAACAAAGAATCATGGGTCAAGGAGTCACTTAAATCACACACTCATCACAGAAATGGCTGCAACTACTTAAAAGATCTGACACCAAAACGTAAAACTTGTAAGTTTTTTAGTGGGATGAGTGGTACTCCAAATGTCGGTTGTCTTCCAACACAGCCATGCATTTCTAAATCCAAGGTTTCAGTCATCGACTTTGATCTGTAAACATTTGCTGTGAGTAATTTGGTCAATGAAATCCTGCTGCTACAAACAGGTCTGTGTTGATTTTCTAAGCAGAACTTTAATACACATAACCCTGCATCCTGGCCCTGCGATGGACTTGCGACCCGTCCAGGGTGTACCCCGCCCCTCGCACAGTGATTGCTGGACATGGGCACCGGCGACCCCCGTGACCCAAAATGGAATAAGCGGGTAAAGATAATGGATGGATGGATGGAACCCTGCATCCTCAAACAGCAAATACACTTCAACTATACCAGCAGTCACAATTAGTAGAAGTGGATTTTACGACACATAAAGCACGCCAGGCTGTGGCTACATCAGGTAATGTTCCACACCTTCATTTTTCTTTTAGGTTATTATCAGTTAGGCAAAGAAATCGCTGTGTTTTATTGTCGCGTCATGGTTTCTGTTCATGCTGGACTAAATACTTAAATTAACACCATATAAGGGCTTTCCTGTGACTGCAGGATGGCTGTGAAGCTTCCCTGCTTCTGGCTGCTGCTTCTGTTTAGTCTCAGCCGAGCCGACAAAAAAACATGTTTGAACTCCGCTTCCAGCTGCGATGAGTGTATTCAATCAGGCTCCTTGTGTTCTTGGTGCACCTACCCTCAAGCTAGCATTCGCTGTTCAACCGTGAATGCGTTGGAGAAAGCAGGTTGTCCTCAAAACATATATTTATAACCCGGCACAAAGTGTGCAGGTCATCAAAAATGCTATTAGGTAAGCATCCTGGGCTATAACAACAATGAAATAGTCTTAGTTTAAGTTCATGGGTCTGTAAAATAGCAAAACAGTTATTAATTATATTTAATATAACAAACATACATATACTATAAGTTGTAAAACACTTGACAAAATGTTAATTTTTTGCTTTAGATAAAGTTTTACATGGTTTTTACACATATACATATATATATATATATATATATATATATATATACATACATATATATATACATATATATATATACATATATATATATATACATATATATATATATA